TGGTAAAGCGGGGAAGTTTAAACACTGACTCATACTCAAGAGAAACCTTAAACCTTTAATCTGTTCTGAAATCAAGGATGTTAATCCCATTTAGTCACACATTTTAAGCATCTTTGCTACCAGCAATTTACTTACCCTTGTGAATGTAGTAGTATATTTAACAGACTTTACTTTCTTTTGTAAAAAGGGAAACACTTTGAGCAGAAAAGCAGTGAGATAGAAAGCTTTCCAAGGCTCTGAAGGAGCGGCCATAACATCGGTAGAAGAAACTCATTTACTACTCCCTTTTAAGAGAAATCGTGTCTGATGGCTGTTGATTTGGCTTTAGCAGCTGCATAAATTGGAAACTAAAATATAAATTCTTCCAAGCCTGAAACTTCAGCAGGCATCCAATGTGCTGACTCCGCACCCACTTTTCACTTCTCTACCAAGTGTCTACCTCTGGTTTCTGAGCCGTCAGTCTTGTGCGGGTGTGGACTGTGAACATTCAACAATAACAACAGCAATAGCAACTGTCAATTGGAAAGTACAGGGTCGTGGATCAGGCAGGGATTGTGTGGGTCAGAGGAAGCCTCTAGAAGTCACCGTTCAGCTGGCATCTCAAAACTCTTTTGGAACATCAGGAATGTGACACTGTACTGTCCCGTGGGGTCATACAGAAACAGAGTAAAAGACAAGGCTAAAATACATAGACATGGGAGGAGAGAGGAAAGAGAAATTAGAGCGATAAGTAGAAATTGTATTAAAGGCTCTGTAAGCAATTAAGGTGTTGCAATCCACAAACATAGTCACTGGAACTATAGAAATGTTTCAAACACCATACTGCTGTAACAAGTAAAATCAGATTTTCCTTTTTTATCTCTAAAACCTGCTTTGAAGTTAGGTTCCACATATTGTGTAGAAACATGGGTGGTACCCCATTAGAAAACATCTGTGTCACAGGAGGGAATTAATCCATCTAGAAGATGTCCATGAGGTACAACCAAAAGCTAAGACCATGAACTAAACAGAGGTGAGGTATTTCAAGAGCAGTGCTTGTTAGGCCAGGCGTGATAGTACACACCTTTAATCCTCCACAGGC